AAAATGTACTAGACCTAGTTTTTACCTCAGGCACCTCCCAGGTAGCTACTGACGTAATTGACGGTCTTTTTGGACGTGATCACAAAATAGTCGGATGTAAAATTATGGCTGAGTCGTCGCATGTGAGGTCTGCGGTGGTTCTGCACTTCCTGCAAAATGTTAATCGGGTAGATTTCTCTGTTGTGCTTAGGGTCCAAAATAGGGACCATTCCTTCTTTTCGTCTGACATTGAGGGAGCCTTTGACATCTTCTATGAGAATGTGACTATGGGCTTAAGCATACTTGCTTCCCGTGATAATACGAGAGCCTCTTCTAAGTAAGCTAACAACGCAAAGGACAAGCGAAAAATACTAGTGCTAACCCGAACATATGAACGTACTCACGACTTTAGCGTATTACTGAGACTCCAACGTCTTATAATTGAGACGGATATGAAACACCACACTCATCTCATGCACGAAGCACAACGGGCTGTAAATAGCAGCAATACAAGTCAACTGGTAACTGTATTATTGAGAAAAAAGAGAGGCGGCAAAACTGACCTACACTCCCACATCTTGATGCCTGAAGGCGAATGCATTGATTCCCCAATTGCTATGGCAGAAGCCTTTAACTCCTACTTTTCTAAATCCTTTACTCTTGCAAAAGAAACCCTGGAATTGTCAAGTTCGTTTAACTTCTCTGAACAAGTCTCAGCGATCGAGCGTATTGGCTCTACATATAATTACTTATGAATCCGTATGAATACCTGTCCACCATCATCCTACAGACCTGGCTCCGATGGGATCTCTTCTCCTTTAGTTAAACAGGGTGGGGATGATATCTGTTATAACTGAGGGAACGCCACCTCTGTTCTAATTGCGTAATCGCCTGCTAAGATTGTCACTGGCACAGTTGGAGCACGCCTAGGATGACGGATTGTAACGCTAGCCAATCGAAGGGAGTTGCGCTGCCCTGATGACGCTAGCTTAGCCGGTGAGACGGTAAAGTGAGCGAGCGTGTGAACCGTCCTAGCCGTACGTGTTCGGACAGACGCTGAGCCCTCGGAACAGACGCACACGAGAGGGGGTTACGACAGACGCGCGCTAATGAGGAAAGCTGGCCAGCTACGAGGCACACAAAATCACTTAACCCGACCGACTCCAAACTGAGGCGAAGAGAAAGAAAAGGCAAGTGGTCCTCTGTAAGCTCTCTTACGACCAACAAAGGGCAATCACAGTCAGTGCTATGGGTTAGTAAGTTAGGGAAAACAGTCACCACGAAGAGGGGGTAGTTTGCAAATGCGCATTGTCGAAAGGTGCGCAGTTGGGCCGCGTCTCGGAGTGGCTGAGCTCAGCTGCGTTGTGGAGAGGAATTGAACCTCGGTTTCCACAGCCATTCTGCCGGGGTTTCTGGCGCGTTTTTGCGGGAATATTTGACGTGCCCGCAACAATATCCCTCTTATATTATTAAATATCTGCTCTTTGTCTCTCCAGTTTGGTCAGTATCCCGAAGGTTGGAAAACAGCTACGGTTGTACAGCGATTTAAGTCCGGGTCAAAAACTGACATCCGGAACTACCGCCCCATTAGTCACACAGCCATTCTCTCACGCATGCTAGAGAGAATTGTTAACGAGCATTTGGTTTTGTTCCTAATATCGCACAAACTTCTCTCACCTTCACAGCATGGGTTTCCGAAGTCTCGCTCGTGTGTTACCTGTCAAGTTGACTTCCTTAACCAACTAGCTGAAGCAATTGACTCATATCTTCAGTGCATTGTTATCTTCCTCGACATGCAAAAGGCTTTTGACAGAGTCCCACACAAAAAGCTGCTATATAACTTAAGTAAGTACGGTGTTACAAATCCGCTTAACTCTTGGATCCAATCGTACCTAGTAGAACGGTCGCAAGTTGTGGATATCATTAGTTACATCTCTGCACCTCGTCTGGTCACCAGTGGAGTGGTACAGAGCAGTGTCTTCCTACTGTATATAAATAACCTTGTTTCTGTTAAGCAATTTGGGAAGCCTTACTTGTTTGCTGATAACCTAAAAGTGCTTTATACGTTCCCAGGTTCTCAGCGTACCGCTGAACTTAACAATGTCGAAAGCGACTTAAAAGCCATTGTGAGATGGTCTGATATGTGGCAGATGATGTTTACCACATCAAAGTGTAGTATTCTAGCATATGAATGTCAGATAGAAGCAAAAGTGTTCAGGTTTCATGACGAAGTCATTTCCATCAGCCAGTCTGTTCGTGGCTTAGGTTGAAGATATTCTACTTCATTAAACTTTAGCAAACATACAAATCATATCGTGAAAAAGGCTAAGCAGTAGGTCGGGCTCATAAGCCACCTGCTAACCTTGAAAGAAACCAGACTAATTGCTTTCACAATCAATATCAGACCTTTGCTGTGGTATCTTCAGTAAGTTTCGAAAGTGTGACTTGAGAGCCTTTGAAAACTTTCAACGCGCTTTCAAGAAGCACACAGTTGGTTATTCAACCGCTTTTTCATACAGAGGTAGGTGCAAGGAGCTGTATCTTGAACCTCTGTGGTTACGATGAATGCAATTAAATCTGTGCTTCCTCCACAAACTCGTGTGGCGGAAAGCATATTTTAGTACTTATGAATTGCACTTTCGGGATAATACCATTTATGAACTGCGAGATAGTGAATGTATATTCTCTTTACCTAAATTCAAGACCAGCCTAAGAAGAAATTTCTATTTCCTTAGGTATGGCTCCATATGGAAAAATCTGCCAAAAGAGATTACATGTATTGAACATTTTTGCATGTTCAAGAAAATGACAAAGGTTTGTCTGCCAACGGACAGAGTGAAATGGATATTAAAATTCAATTTGATGATGAGAAACTGTGTGAAAAAGGGCCGGATCACGTATGATACCGGAGAACATCGACATGAAGCATATCCAACAAATGCACCAGAGCAAACATGATCATCTGGGATGAGCTGTTACAAACCGCTTCTTATACTATTCTTTAATGCTACTCCTATGCGATTGTACTCATTTCAAAATTAATTCATACCAACTGTCTCCTGTTTGAAACCAAAAGCAAAATTAGTTACTGGTGTGGGGTTGAGAACTAATTTCATAATTCTAAACACAAATTGATTAATTCGTAATATTGTTCTGATATTCTCTTCACTACATTTGTTATGCAGTGTTAACCATTTGCCCGTTTTTCTGAGTTAGTCCAGAAATATATACTGGAATTCAGTGCTGGCAATAATGGATTCTCTATTTGACTTTTGCTTATGGACAACTCTTACAGTTATCTGGCTCCGGCTGTCACGCCACACAATTTGATCGTATGATTGGCTCGATCCATTTTTACGCAGAAGTAAAAAACATACCTGCCTAACTTTTACACTGACGATATAGTACCTTATTCCCATAATTTTTATCCTTCCATATTCTTCCTTATTTCATTGTTGGCCACGACTGGGCTGATCTCCTGTGGTGACGGATTATAGCTTCCGGATTATACAAGACTTTACCTATGTAAGGCACAGCCACAAACTGACTGGCGTGTAAAAAGTGCCATAATTGTATGGTCTGAGGCTTCATCCTTCATAATACATGTATAAAAACAGCCCTAAAAAGAATACAACACATTATAAACAGGTGATGGCTCATATGCTACTACGGTTGTTATGTCACATCGGCACGCGGCCAGGTATAAAATGGAATTGGGGGCGAAACCTTTCCAGAAAATAACTTGCATGTAAGCAGGTCCCCAGAGGACGGATCCACAAGTGGCCGTATTACTTTACATAGACATTTGTTAAAATCTGCACAGGTTATTGTTCCTGGTTTTTTAACTACTTTAATACTTTAATCCTTCCAATTACTTTAATACCCGTTTTGGATCCAATACAAAATGAGCGAACAAACTGATTATTTTTTGTGATCCTGTTGTACACATTAATCAGACCACATGGTTGGACTTCATCTTGAATCGCCGAGGAATATACCATTTATTTATTTATTTAATAGCCAAGTCGAAGAGGAAAGGTGACAGCGGACATCCTTGTCTCACACCGCTGGAGATATTGTAGGTCTATCACAACTGACCGGAAGCTCTCACTCTGCCAGAGACAGGCGTGAATAATGCTCGGATAAGATTTCTATATTTCTGGGGCACATCTTTCCTGAGTAGACAGTCCCAAAGGGCACGCCCATCCACCGAAATGAGTGCACCTTTGATATCGAGGAACACGACAACGGTGGGTAGAAAATATATGTGGCGGTGCTCCAACAACTGACGCAAAGTGAATATGTGGTCATTGCAGACACAACCCTGACCAAACCCGGCTTCCTCTTCGCGAATCTGACTTCCACGAGTGCCAGTCAGTCTTTGAAGGATGACAGAGGAAAGCAGCCTCTGCAGAAGCAGGATCTCTTTATGCACCTGACCTCATGGTGAAGGGCGTCTAAGAAGGTTACTGGCTTCTCCCATCTACCTTATCAACTTGAGGTAAAATCACTACCAGTGCATAGTGGTCGGTATTACTGTGGATCAAGCAATCCTACGAAATCCTTGCCATCCTTCCGGAAGCTCAGTTGTAACACTAATCTGGTACTGAGCTGCCATGGTAGTGTAGCCGGTTGGATTGAATTAGGATCTTCCCACATCAAGGGTAACAACCGTGGACCGCATTCCTCGACTCCTTTGTAGAGCCCCCGCGTTACCTATCATAAAAGACGATTTGATGACACCTTAAGCCATTTACATTTTTCTACGTGATCTGTTTTTATCAGGAGATTGGATAGCGCTGACAAGTGAAGTAGCTGGATTTACAGCTGTCATACTATGAATATCTAGGTAAGTCCACCAAGCCATACAAAATTGACTAACACACACCGATGTTGCCGTTTTCATCCTGAACGTCGCTAATTGTATATTGTAACCAGCAGCTGTGAGTATTCTACTCTTCCACTGATCCATTGTACAGATCGCTTGCAACTGCAGCTGAGCATGTCACTTGGTAGCTTACTCGCCATGTGTGGAACTAAGTGCATAACTTGGAAGATTGGCGTCTGAACTGGACACTTGGTGTCCTTGATAAGTACAACGGGCGAAAACTTAGTCATTTCTGACTTGTGGCTCTTCCATCACAGATTTTACTATATTAGTGGGAGACACCCAAAGGATTCAACATGGATGGCAAATTCTGCAAACACTACCAAGCATCGTTTTAACCTCTATCGTAAAGATTATAAACCATCGACGCATCCACCGGTATATATATATATATATATCTACTGGAGGATATATATATATATATATATATATATATATATATGTATATGGTTGGAGAGCCCATGGTGAGCCGAAACTTGTGGTGGCGAGATCGTGCCAGATCATCGACCCGTTACTGCTAATATTGTGCTGTTGGCCAATGTCCTGGATGCCTAATCGTGGTGACTGCTAGGTGGAAGTTGAGTGACACCCTTATTCACGCAAAAATCCAGAACAAAATTCCGCGTGAGTCAATTCACTGACTCATGGCTTTCGGCACGCTGCCTTTCGGGTGTATAAATAAATAACTAAATAAATATTTTATTCTCGACTGTGCGAGGCACGCCAATGTAGGCATGATCAGATAACTTTATCGAAGGCATTGGATGAGGACCCGAGTTGTTCTCCTGTCAGGTGTGGGCACCCTGGCAATATCTCAGTCCAACACCTAACCATGAATTACCTCAAAAATAATATATCTGTCTTGTATCCGCCGTCGCATAGTGGTTAGGAAAAGGCTCGCCTTATCTGCTGCCTTCAGCGGCGTGGAGAAGCGAAAACATACTATTGCGGGAGCTTTGCTTCTTTCTTCTTCCACTACACATAATCTCCCTGTCTCCATTTCACCTAACCTACTACTTCCTCCAATTCAGAATGTCACTTCCTATACGGTTGCCCGCCAAATCAACCGTGTTCCTCCGCGCAGAGCGCTCAACCTGCGGTGCTGGAGCATGCGCACACTACTGGACCGGAATACGAGTAAGCGCCCCGAGCTGCGCAATGCACTAGTCACAATGGAACTGGTTCAACCATATTGCGGCTCTCATCGAGACCCGATCCTGTGCAAGGTAAGTTGCATGAAGGTGGTGCTGGTTACACATTTTACTGGATGGACAACGCCGCCTCAGCACCACATGAACATGGGGTCGGATTTGCAATATCTGCTCGACTCCATGGCCACCTCGTGAGTGAACAAACAGGCATCAGCTCGCGACTGATGACTGTTCACTTAAGACTCGGAAGTTTGTCACTTCCATAAGCACGTACGATCCGACCACGTGTTATCCTGATGATACTCGCGCACACTTCTACACTCAGCTATCCTCCGTGATACGGTCTGTGCCGAGGAGCGATCGACTATTTCTGCTGGGTGATTTCAAGGCGCGCGTTCGGCGTGACGCATCGGTGTGGACAGATGTCATCGGTCCGCATGACATTGGTTCAACGAATGCGAACGGTGGCAGGTTACTCTCACTGTGTGACACTCACAGCCTGACGATCACGAACACTCGGTTTGCACCGAGTGCGAGTGATATAGCAATTTGGACGCACCCACGGAGTGGTCACGCTCACCTGCTCGACTATGGCATCGTACGTCAGCGTGATATGCGTGAAGTGCGCATGACACATGTACTGCGTGGAGCTGAGTGTGGCACCGATCACAAATTAATGCTGACCAAACTGTACATATATTTTTGTAAATCTATGTATTGCACTCCCGCCGTGAATCGGTGTACATTTAACATTCGCTCCGCCTGCACTGTAGAGAAAAGTAGTGAGCTGGAGAAGGCGATGGCTGTACAACTGTGTGATATGGAATGCATAGCCACAGTGGGCGACCTGTGGCACCACATTCGCGACCAACTGATAGCTGCTGCCGAGGAGACCGCCAGGCACGCAAACGGTAAGCGGCCCGATTGGTTTGATGAGAACAATGCTACGATTGGCGCATTGGTGTGTGAGAAGAACCCAGAATTTGCAGCGCATGTGGCACACCGTAGTGACTTGGAGAAAAATCGCCAGTTTCACAAAATTCGACGGCGAATTACTATATAGAGCCTCTTCTCATTAGAAATACGTGGTGGACAGAAAAGGCGAAGTAGATGGAAGGCGACGCCGAACGTTGCCAACACAAGAAATGCTTTGACTTTTTGAAGGCCGTGTAAGGAACGAGCTTGGAGTCACTGAGGACAGTTTTCAATGGTATTTCAGGCACTGCCTGCACATAGACTGCAGACATAATGCAGACATGTCAAAATCACTGTCTGTCTCTTGAGCAACCGTTCAGAGATTGACTGACTTACTTTGAACGGCCTCAAACAGCTCGATGTGAAGACGAATCTGGCGGACGCGCGGACACTGGATGAGACGCAAAGAGCACTTGCTCAGCTGCAAAACGGCAAGTGTGCCGGGGCCGACGGGATCCCGTCTGAAATATTGAAACACGGCGGACCCGCGTTGGTGACTGCGCTGCACCACTTGGTGCAACCTGTATGGGTTGAGGAGTAGGTGTCTCCTGAGCTGAAGGATGCCTTTGTGCTACCACGATACAAGCGCAAAGGTAGCAGGCAATGTTGCACGAATTATCGTGGCATCAGCTTGCTGAGTTGTGTTTGCAAGGTGACTGCCTGAATCCTGCTCAACCGCCTCGTCAGTCAGGGTGTGGAATCGAACGTGGCGGAAGAGCAGTGTGGATTCCGTTCGGGTCGCAGCACTATAGATATGGTGTTTGCGGCTCGTCCGTTGCAGGAGAAGTGCAGAGAACGACACCAGCCATTGTATTCGCTGTTTGTTGATTTTACAAAGGCATTTGATACGGTGAACCGCGAGGCATTGTGGCTGGTGTTGGGTAAGTTTGGTTGCCCACATAAGTTTGTAAGTTTAGTTGAATGTCTGCACAGTTGTATACGGGCGAGGGTGTAGCTGAGTGGAGAGACCTCGGATGACTTTGCAGTTGTCTCTGGTGTGAAGCAAGGCTGTGTCTCAGCTCCTGCCCCGTTTAATATATATCTTCATGCAATGATGTCCTGTGCTTTTAAAGCCGCTTGTGCTTACGTTGTTTTTATGGAGCACCGTACTGATGGTAGGTTGCTAAGCATCGGTCGTTTCGGTGCGAGAACTCTAGTCTGTGAGACAACTATCCGTATGTTGCAGTTTGCTGATGACTGTGCGTTCTTTTCACACAGCGCGGATGATTTGCAGCACATGAATAGTGCTCTGGCTTCGACAGCGGCAAAATTCGGGCTCACCAACACCACAAACAAAACTGTCTGTCTCTCTCAGCTTACCCCGGAGGTGCAATCTGTAATGGTGCCGCGAATCGGCATTGGTGCTGAAGTATTGGAAACCACCTCCCGCTTCTGTTACCTTGGGAGTATGATGTCGACTGACCAGCAACTACACAGGGAGCTTCGTGTCTGCGTCCCGAAGGCAGCGACGGCATTCTGGAAATTTGAGTACGGAGTGTGGAACAACTATCAGCTTACCGTTGACACGAAGCTGATGGTGTACAAATCCATGAGGCTGTCCGTTTTTCTATACAGCAGGGCAAATGGGTCGATGAACCGGCGAGCTGACATAACTCGAACCGTTTCATCAATTGTGTCTGCGACGGATTCTGCGCATCAGTTTGTGTGACAGAGTTGCGTACACGGAAATGTTGTGTTGAAGTGAATTACATGCAGTGTACTGCATACTTGTTCTGAGACACGTGAGGTGGCTCGGTCATGTGTGGCGTATGGATTCGACGGGTATGCCGAGGCACTTTTTATACCATCAGCTGAATGTGGGGATGCTTCCTGTGGGGAAATGGAAGCTTCGTTACCGGGACATGATCAAGGTGAGCTTATCACATTCTAACCTTGGTTGCAGAGCATGGAAATCGAAGACGGTTGATCGGCGTGCATGGCACTACCTGCTCACGAAGGCAGTTGTCAAGGAGCAAGATAAAGCCCTTGTGTTTGCGGAGAAGCAGCAGATGTGGAACCAACAGGCGCCGATGGAGTATGTTCCATACATGTCTAATGCACGTTGTTGTAGTACATGCGGTCGTGAGGGTATGAGTCAGGCAGACCTAGTGAGCCACGAGCGATGCCACTCGGCAACAGCATCGAAATGACGACTGGTCTTGCTTCGAACGTAAGCAGAACGGGCGCAGCGCTGATAGGTATGTCGCATACGCTTCCATTCGGGTTACTAACCGCGTATTTGCGTGTTGCGATATTCCATATCAGTTGATCGTTTTGCTACCTTTTGTTAATACGGCATATTATTGTGTATGAGCTGACAATATGACTTTGCAACGTCAAATTTGGGATCTTTTCCAGTTAAGCCCCGCCACCCAAAAAAGATTATGAAAAGGGAGGATATGGAATTTGAACTTTTACTCTCTATTGAAGTGGGTGAAATTGAGACAAGTCATTAATAATTTTCATGAAAAGGTCCATTTTTCGGTGTCTTCGGCGCTTATTCTGCATCTTGTAAATGTGCCAGAGTGATTCGATGGTTTGTGTGTGAGCTCCAGTCGTTGGATCCAAAATGTTTTCGGTATGATTAACCGTTTGATGAGTATAACTCATGTCAATCATCGATTCAATGCCTTTGTATGATGCCCACATATCGGAAATGATAATTGAGCCGGGAGCGATGCAGGCCTGGATTGTGTCCAGCAGAGTGGTCGCAGTTCGATCTGGCCCTGCATACAAAAACACTTCTTTAGTCTCCCGGCAAATCCCTCCGAAAATCCACTGCTGGGGAAGGACTCGCCCTGCATGGTTTTTAGGACGTGATATTAGGGTTTCATCGATCTCGACATGTAGACCTGGGCCGCCGACAATCGTTGGAGTCTGCAAAAGCTGCCAGGCGCAAATTTCACGCAGAAAGTTCTTCAAGTCGACAGCGGTCGCGTGGCCAATAGATAACTCCTCTGAGCAGAATTTGATTGTTGTCAGATTTTTGGACCAGCAATAAATGAATAGGATTA